GTTTATTTTTGGCAGGAAGAGGACAACGTTTGAGGTGGCCAGGGATTGGCCCAAACCTTTGGTGGGTCTCAAGCGTTGTGCTCCTCCACCACGGAGAGGAGATACTGCGATAGCTGCACCATCTTGAGATGTTTTGAGTTGTGTTGGGGACTCATAATCTCCTGGCCTACAACCAAAGGAGGCATCTTGGGTGACTTCCACATTCCAACGTTGTTGCCAAACTGCTTCCCGGGACCTAATTATCTCATGGATGGAAATTCTGCTCCTCCACACGTCGAGGTGGGAGTGCAGATGCCAGAAGTCACTTCCCAAACAAGTCCACGGTTTCAGAAGGCGAGGACAACCTCTGGAGAACTTCTGGAGAACTTCTGGAGAACTTCTGGAGAACTTCTGGAGAACTTCTGGAGAACTTCCATCACCTTCAATTGGGGTCCCTACTCTTTCTCGGTCTTGGCGTCTTTCTCCCCTACCTCCAAAAATGGGATTTTTTCCATCCGTTCTCTTCGGCGTAGGCACCGTTCTGGGAATTGGGTTTTTACTCCTGGTCTCTTGGGCCGTTTATTACGATTTCACGCGAACGAAGATCCCGTCGGGATTCCAGCATCCCCTTAAGCTGCGCCTCCTTCACATGGGCATTGTGATGATCTTCACCCTGGTAAGTCTCTCGTGGTTTAAAACTCACGCCGTGGTTGAGTCAATTAAGATGATTGACAGCCTGGAGGGTAAAACATAGGAAGAACGGTTGCGGGATCTGGGTTTGGCCAGTCGAAAGAAAAGAAGGACTAGGAGGGGACCTGATAGCAGCCTTCCAGTATTTGAGGGGCTGCCCCAAAGAGGAAGGGGAGAATTTATTCTCCAAAGCGCCAGAAGGCAAGACGAGAGATGATGGATGGAAATTAATCAAGGAGAGAGGCAACCTGGAAGTAAGGAGAAATTTCCTGACAGTGAGAACAGTTAATCAGTGGAACGACTTGCCACCAGAAGTTGTGGATGCTCCAACACTGGATGTTTTGAAGAAGAGGGTGGAGAAACATTTATCTGGGTTAGTATACGGTCTCCTGCTTGAGCAGCAGGCTGGACTAGAAGACCTCCAAGGTCCCTTCCAGCTCTAGTCTGGTTGATTGATTGATTGATTGAGTCTCCTGCTTGAGCAGGGGGCTGGACTAGAAGACCTCCAAGGTCCCTTCCAGCTATATTTTGATTGATTGATTGATTGGGTCTCCTGCTTGAGCAGGGGGCTGGACTAGAAGACCTCTAAGGTCCCTTCCAGCTATATTTTGATTGATTGATTGAAATGAGTCTCCTGCTTGAGCAGGGGGTGGACTAGAAGACCTCCAAGGCCCCTTCCAACTCTAATCTGACTGATTGATTGATTGATTGGGCCTCCTGCTTGGGCAGGGGGCTGGACTAGAAGNTCTCTCTCTCTTTCTCCTCTAGCTCCTTTCCCCCCTCTCTTCCTCCTTCTCTCTGCTTCTCTTCCTCTCTTTCTCCTTCTCTCTCTCTCTTCTTTCTCTTTCTTTCTTTCTTTCTTTCTTTCTTTCTTTCTTTCTTTCTTTCTTTCTTTCTTTCTTGGGGATTCAGTCAAAAACAGTACAGGTTAGTTTCTAATTACAGCAGTGCACTGAGTGACTATTCAAAAGTTACAACGGCTCTTTAAAAAGCAACTTCCATACTTATGACCGACGTGGCATCCCCGTGTTCGTCTGATCAGAGTTCAGATGTTTGGCCACTGACTTGTTTTTACGACGGTTTCAGTGTTCTCTGGGTCAAACGATCCGCTTTTACAACCTTTTGACCAGCAAAGTCAACGGGGAATCCAGATTCACTTAACAACCATGTGACTCATTTAATGACTGCGGGGATTCACTTAACAACTGTGGTAAGAAAGGTCATGGGGCAAAACTCACTGGGCAGCTGTCTCCCTTAGCAACGGAAATATTAGGCTCAATTATGATCGTAAGTGGAGGACTACATATATATATGTGTATGTGTGTGTCACTAAGCAAGACAGTTGTTAAGTGAGTTTTCTGCTATTTCACAACTTAAATCATTAAACAAACCATTCTATGTCTATACAGGTGGTCTTCAACTTACAATAGTTCATTTAATGACCGTTCAAAGTTACAACGGCATTGAAAAAAAGAGACTTATGACCATTTCCCACACTTACGACCATTGCAACTTCCCCACGGTCGCAGACACTCGGCCACTAACTCCTATTTATGATGGTGGTCGCATCCCGGGATCACCTGATCTGCTTTTGCGACCTCCGGACCAGCGGGGGGGGGGGGAGCCGGCTCCACTTAACAACCAGTGTGACTCACTTAACAAAGGCAGTGACTCGCTTAACAAACGCGGCGAGGAAAGTCGCAAAAGGGGGAGGGGCAAGTGAAGCTCGCGGCTCAAACGTCTCCCTTAGCGACATCACTTTTGGGCTCCATTTTGGTCGTAAGTGGAGGACTCCCTTGTAGAAGTCGCCTTCCTCCTGCGGATCGACCGTTTGAGCGTTCAGCCACCAGGTGGCAGCAAAGAGCCAGGTATCCGCTCCTGGCTGGCCTGCTTCTTGGGTGGCTGAAGGAGCCAAGGGCATCCCTTGGAGACTGGATTGGCTCCCGTTTGTGTAACGTGGCTTCTGTCCTTCTTTTGAAAGTCCAAATTTACTTTAGATAACGGTTTTTACGAGCCCCGTCACCCGGAGGGCATCCTACGGGCGACCTCGGGGGTTGAGCAAGCCCCGTGTTGGTCAACAGAACTTAACACGGTTACTGATTAGCTGAAGCGAGATCGGCAGACGCCTGAATCATTCGGCAAACAAACCGGGTTAAATTCGATTTAGATACTTAGCTGGGTGAAAACTAAGCGCTGGGGAAAAGCAATTTCTTCTCCTCCTCCTCCTCCTCTCCTCCTCCTTCCTTTCTTCTTCTTCCTCCTCCCCTCTCTTCCTCCTCTCCTTCTTCCCACTCCTCTCTTCTTCTTTTTCTTCTCCTCCTCCCTCCTCCTCCTCTTCTTCTTTCTCCTCTCTTCCACCACCTTCTTCCCACTCCTCTTCTTCTTCTCCTTCTCTTCTTCTTCCTCCTCCTCTCTTCCTCCTCTCCTCTTTCTTCCCACTCTTTTCTTCTTCTTCTTCTCCTCCTCCTTCCTTTCTTCTTCTTCTTCCTCCTCCCCTCTCTTCCTCCTCTCCTCCTTCTTCCCACTCCTCTCTTCTTTTTCTTCTCCTCCTCCCTCCTCCTCCTCTTCTTCTTCCTCCTCCTCTCTTCCTCCTCTCCTCTTTCTTCTTCTTCTTCTTCTTCTTCTTCTTCTTCTTCTTCTTCTTCTTCTTCTTCTTCTNTCTTGCAGACATCTCATGACCAAACTAGGGAATATCCTCAGTGCCAGGAGGGAAGGAGGTTTCCTCCCTGTCCTTCTACCTCTACACAACCTCTGCCAGGAAACTCAGAGCATCCCAAAAACCGCCCTGTGTCCCAAGTTCGACCCTCTGCTCTAAATCATTCCTGCCGTCCCATAACTCTTCCCCCCGGTGTCTTTTCCCAGCTACCGCCTCTCCCCGGAGCACCCGTTCCCCACTCAGTGGGAGGACTGCCTCACCGCCACCGTCCACTTCATGAAGCACGCTGAGGAGCACGGCGTGGACCCTTCGCAGATCGTCATCGGCGGGGACAGCGCGGGGGGCAACTTCGCCACCGTCATCACACAAGAACTTCTCAGGCGTCCAGGCCTGCCCAAACTCCGCGGACAGGTCCTCATCTACCCAGGTGTCCAAGCGTTGGACTTCAACCTGCCGTCGTATCAGCAGAACGCCGCCATCCCCATCTTGTTCCAGGAGAGCGTGGTCTTCTACGGCTTGAAGTTCCTCTTGAGGGATTCCTCGTTGACCAACGATATCTTGAGGGGTTCTCACGTCCCGGACGAGTTTAGACAGAAGTACGAGAAGTGGTTGAGTGTGGACAACATTCCTGAGCAGTTTAAACGGCGGGGGTACCAGAGGCGCCCGTTGGGCCCGTACAAGGCGGAGGTCCACCACCAGGTGCCCGACCTCCTCACCGCCTCCTTCTCATCCCTCTTAGTGGAAGACGAGCTGTTACGACGGTTCCCGGAGACGTTTATCGCCAGCTGCGAGTACGACGTGCTCCGGGATGACTCGTTGCTGTACAAGAAGAGGTTGGAGGACAACGGGGTGAAGGTGCGCTGGTTCCACGCCACGCAGGGATTTCACGGCATCATCAACCTCTGCTACATGAACATTGTCCGCTTTCCTGACGGGGTGGAGATATTGGAGAAAGCGTCGGAGTTCATCCGGGATTTATGAGACTTTTTGTTCCCGCCTTGCTTTGTGAAGGTCAGGGAGTTGGGTTCCGGACTTGTGACAGTTCATTTAGTGACCGTTCGGAGTGACGACGGCTGTGAAAAAAGGGACAAGAGCAGTTTTTCACACTTGTAAGCTTGATGGTGTCGCTGTCCCTGTGTGTATGCTTCTGCTAAAACTCTCTTTCTCTCTCTCTTTCTCTTTCTCTCTTTCTATCACTTCTCTCTCTTTCTCTCTCCTTTCTCTCTTTCTCCTCTCTCTTTCTTCTTTCTCTCTTTCTTCTTTGCTCTCTTTCTCTCTCTCTTTCTCTCACTTCTCACTTTCTCTCTCCTCTCTCCTCTCTTTCTCTCTCTTCTCTCTTTCTCCTTCTCTCTCTCTTTCTATCACTTCTCTCTTTCTCTNGAAATGGAGAGGGGAGGGGAGAGGGTGGGAGGCAGCGAAGGCAGGAAGGAGACAGAAGGGAGGGAGGGAGTGAAAGGGAGGGAGGGAGGGAGGAAAAGATGGATAGAAAGTATACTGGAGATGTTAGAATATAGAGAGAATGAGCAGGAGAAGGGGAAAAAGGATGGGGGATAATTATGGGGGGAGGAAGGGAAGGAAGGAAGGAGTGATGTAGGGAGGGAGGGAAGGATGGAAGGAAGGAAAAGATGGATAGAAAGCATACTGTAGATGTTTGAATATATATATAGAGAGAGAGAGAGAGGAAGGAAGGAAGGGAGGGAGGAAAGGAAGGTGAGAGGGAAGGAATGAAGGAAGGAGACAGAAGGGAGGAAGAGACAGAGGGAAGGAAGGAAGGAGGGAGTGGAATAGAGAGGGAGGTGAGATGGAGGGAAGGAAGGAAAAGATGGATAGAAAGCATATTGTAGATGTTTGAATATATATATATGGAGAGAGAGAGGAAGGAAGGAAGAGAGAGAGGAAAGAAGGTGAGAGAGAAGGAATGAAGGAAGGAGACAGAAGGGAGGAAGAGAAGGAGGGAGGGAAGGGAGGAAGGAAAGGATGGATAGAAAGTATACTGTAGAACATAGAGGGTGAGAGGAAGGAAAGGAAGGAAAGAGACAGAAGGGAAGGAGAGAAGGAAGGAAAGATGGATGGAAAGTATACTGTAAATGTTAGAACATAGAGAGAGAGAGAAAGGGGAGAGAGAGGAAGGAAGGAAAAGGAAGGGAGAGAGGGAGGAAAAGGAAGGAATGAGTCAGAGAAAGGCAGGCAGGCAGAAGAAAGGGAAGGGAAGAGAGAAGGAAGGAAGGAAGGAAGGAAGGAAGGAAGGAAGGAAGGAGGGAGGGAGGGAAAAGACACGGTGTAGAAAACAAAGAAAGCAAATTTAAAGAAATGACTCTCCATTTTCCTTCGCAGCGATAATTATAAATGTAAACTTGCCCCTTGGTCTATTCGTTCTCTCGTCCTTTTTTATTTTTCCTATCATCTGTTCTTTCCCCCTCTTCTTCTATTCCTCCAATCTCTACATCCCCATTTCTCATCTTTCCTTCAAAGTCAGCCAAGGAAAAGCGTTCCCCATCCCGGCCCTTTGACTGTTGAACCCCTTTCTCTCGCTACTACCAGATTACTACCAGGACGTCACCAGCAAAATGGCGAAGGACAGTGAAGCCGTTGTGGTTGTGGTTGGGTGAGTGACGGCCCTCGCTCCTCCCGGGGAAACGGAGGGCTTGACGGAGCAAGGGGGAGCTCGCCTGCATGGGGGAGTCCTCAACGTACGACAGTTCATTTAGCGACCACCAAAGGGCATCGCGTGACCCCCCGAGACACTGACGCCGTTATTAATACAAGCCGAGCCTCTGAATTCCCATCGCACGACCACGGGGATGGCTGCAACGGTCGTAAGTGTGGGGAAACAGTCCATTTCTCGGTGCCGTTGTGACTTCGAACTGTCGCTAAATGAACTGTTGTAAGTCAAAGGCTACCTGTACCCAAGTAGGGGACGTCATCAGTGCTAGAAGGGAGTGGGGGGTTTGGGGGGGAAGAGGAGGACTATGGGGTTCTTCGTGCTCTCTGAGCTTGGTTATTTCATGACCCAACTAGGGAACGTCATCAATGCTAGAAGGGAGAAGGAGTTTGTGTGGAGGAGGAGGAAGAGGAGGAGGAAGAGAAGGAAGAAGAAGAGGAGGAGAAGAGAAGGAGAGAGGAGGAAGAGGCGGAGGACTGTGGGGTCCTTGGTGCTCTCTGAGCTTGGTGGTTTTCTTGGAGATGTTTCATGACCCAGCTAGGGAACATCATCAGTGCTAGAAGGGAGAAGGAGTTTGTGTGGAGGAGGAGGAAGAGGAGGAGGAAGAGAAGGAAGAAGAAGAGGAGGAGAAGTAGAAGGAGAAGGAGAGAGGAGGAAAAGGAGGAGGACTGTGGGGTCCTTGGTGCTCTCTGAACTTGGTGGTTTTCTTGCAGATGTTTCATGACCCAGCTAGGGAACATCATCAGTGCTAGAAGGGAGTGGGTTTGTGGAGAGGAAGGGGAGGAAGACGAAGAGGAAGAAGAGGAGGAGGACTGTGGGGTCCTTGGTGCTCTCTGAACTTGGTGGTTTTCTTGCAGATGTTTCATGACCCAGCTAGGGAACATCATCAGTGCTAGAAGGGAGTGGGTTTGTGGAGAGGAAGGGGAGGAAGACGAAGAGGAAGAAGAGGAGGAGGACTGTGGGGTCCTTGGTGCTCTCTGAGGGTTGTTTACTTGCAAATGTTTCATGACCCAGCTAGGGAACATCATCAGTGCTAGAAGGGAGTGGGTTTGTGGAGAGGAAGGGGAGGAAGACGAAGAGGAAGAAGAGGAGGAGGACTGTGGGGTCCTTGGTGCTCTCTGAGCTTGGTGGTTTTCTTGCAGATGTTTCATGACCCAGCTAGGGAACATCATCAGTGCTAGAAGGGAGTGGGTTTGTGGAGAGGAAGGGGAGGAAGACGAAGAGGAAGAAGAGGAGG